TAGAAATCTCAAACAGCCTTTTTTGTATTTGTAATTTGTCCCATGCCGTGTTCTGGCTATATAATTTTTTCACGTTTCGACATGATTGGTAAATTTCATCAAATTAATTAAATCTATGAGTTTGAATAAGGATAAATTTGCATAACATTAATTCTTCGGCTTTTTCATTGCTCGATACCTGGGAAAACTCCACTCAGAAACAATGAATGAATGTATTAAGGTTCTGGAAAGGACTTTACGGCTTAAAAATCGAAATATTGAAATTACTCGTAGGAAAGCAGAAAACATAATTGTCGCCGTCCTGGTATCCATGGCAAAACTTCGATCGTACTAGAATTATATAAATTAATCGAAAGAAGTGTCAGTTTTTTCGCTTATTATTCTCAAGGAACGCGAGACAAAGTCAAGTTTGATTTTAAAACGGCATTACAGCAGGTTGGTTCATCTACAGAAAACTTATCAAAGGCGAAGTCTTACTCCCGAGTAAGAGCCACACAAATGGCTGCAGGACTGTGATAATTTACACGACGAAAACGTTTCAATTGGGATCGTGGTTATCGTATGGCTCCAAACTGCACCAAAAGCACCAAGCTGATTGAGTTCCAGTTTAAATTTCTGCACAGACGTATACCTAGAAACAATTTCCTATAAAGAAATTGGTCTTGTCATGTTACATCCTGCTTTTGGAAAAACTTTAAGGTGGCTCTGAACTCTATCTACAGAATTTTTTTAAATTTTGCAGAATATTGGTCCTTATTATGCTTATCAAAATTTGTTAATATATAAAAAAAATTCATTGAGCCTGTTGTGGCTATTTCTTGTTTTCTTTGTGTCCGTTTTTTTCCGTACGTTAATGTATTTTTTCACATTCTGCATACTTTTTTTCCTCACGTCGTATGTAAATTTCGTTGCGTATATATTTGTGTTATCCTTTCTTGTTCATTTAGTGCTAGTTTATCGTCCATTACACTTGTAACTTGTAATTTCTTGGTTCCCTCAACCCCGTTTCCTGCATTTGGTAAGCCGTTTAGTTTGCCGTCTGTTTTGTATTTTGCTCTTAGTTCTCTGCCGTCTTCGGTTAGTTATTTTGTAGTAATTCGTTTTATGTTTGTCTTTAGAAATTTACCTTCCTCCTACGGGAAGTCAAATAAATTTGCTGGACTAATTGAAACTCGCTTTAAGTTGTGTCTGAAGTCAGCCATCTGCCTCTTTAGTGCCGGTTTTGAATTGTAAGCCCCTAAAGCTCTAATTAAGGGTGATTTTAGCAGGTCATACTGTTGCTATGGTAACCTATTGT